GAGTTCGATTCCCGGTACCAAAAAACAAGTGGGTCCACAGTAAGCAGTTAAAGACCAACGCGCTGATGGTTCACCAGTTGCAGTAGAAAGAAATGCTTCTCAGTAACTGCAGCCCAAGTTCTAGGGCTCACCTTCCTGGACCTGGCGTGACTTATGAGCCACAGCTTATTGTCTTTGGAAAATGCAGCCCTCTGATTGGCCCTTCCTGACCATGTGCCCACACCTGAGGTAGAAGGTGGGGTCACCTTCAGCTAAACTATTAGGTCTTTGGGATGGGGTGCTGTGGTTCTGAAAAGCAACCCAAACACTGTAACGCCAAAAGGGAAATAGATGCTAGCTTGGCAGAAGCCATAGCTCTCTGCTAAACGATCTTTAACGAATGAGAGCTATTATTGTGAAATGCTGTTGGAAAAGTTAAGCTGACATTTATTAAACATTTGAAATAAGGCTTTGTGGCACATAGTAGGTTTTCACTAAATGTTATGGGAAGAAAAAATTACAAAGGAGTAAATAGGAACATCGTTGAACTATAAGGAAAAAAAAATGGAGTCAAGTGGAATGAGGGCACTATTTTGTTGAGTCTTGAAAAGGAACCAGGAAACATAAGCTCAGGTTAAATGGTACATTCCTGAAAAGAAGCCCCTTAGAGACACAGCTGAGTGCTGTTAATTAATATGTAAAATTACTCTGGAGGAAGGGAGTGCATAGGAAACTCTTGGAGGTTTGTTGATGTCACAAAATACCTGAGTACTGAGCGATGAGAAGGACAATGGAAAATTTCTATGAAGTGAAGAAGTCGACAAGGAAGTAGCGCTGGACTTTAAGGAGGAAAAGGCAAGCAGGCGACCCTTAGAGATCAAATCCTAGCTAATGCCTATGGCATTAATCAAGCTCCCGCTTATGACCCCAGAAAGGGGCTGGAGGTCAGTGTAGACTGCTTCCTGGAGAACCAGGCACGACGGTCCTAGACAAAACGATGGGGAAAATACTGACACCTTAGTGCATTTGGGCTCCTATAACAAAATACCATAGACTGGGTAGTTTATAAGCAACAAAATTTTATTTATTTTCACAGTTCTGGAAGACGTGAAGTTCAAGATCAAGATGCCGCCCGATTAGGTGTTTGCCAAGGGCCCACTGTGCACTGTACCCTTACATGGCCACAGCTGGAGGGTCTCTGGGGTCTCTGTTACAAAGAAAGTAATCTCATTCAGGAGAGCGGAGTTCTCATGAGCTAATCACCTCCCAAAGATCCCACCTCCCCAAAGCCCTCCCTTCTGACCCCTGGGAGGATTTCAACCTGCGAGTTTTAAGGGGACACAACATTCAGCCCACAGCAGTGGGTGAAGGACCACTAGGCTCATCAAAGAATGAGGGACTGATAAACAGGATTCATGCGCAGCCCTGGCCCTCTGACATACACATCACAAAGGAGGGCTACGAAAAGATAACTAAAACCTTTGAAGGGCTGGTTAGACCTCAGGTATCTGGGTTAGGAATGTTTGGGTCTGAAGGATAGTGATTAAGAAAAAGCAGTAATTCGAACACAATACTGTGAACAAACCGCAAACGCACTCACCAGATGTTAAAATTCTGAGGTCACCAGTTTAGTGACGTGAAATTTCATTGCAGGATTGGGTGAGCCTTGGTTTCTACGCTGTGCGATGTGCAGAGCGGTGCTAAAAAGTCACTATTGTGATTAAGATGATTGCATGAGAGCTACCAGGGGATAGTCCCTGACGCGTGGCAGATCTGGGTAAAACTAATGCACTCTGATGGGAATCCCCGTGAGGTTCATGATGATGTGGTATTGTCAGTAGCACAGGGGATCCAGAGTCAGGAGCAATGAGTGTGGGAGTCCAAGATCTACTCTAATCTTCATTTTCACCATCTCTAAAAAGTAACAACACCTACCCCCCAGAGCCCTTTCAAGTTGAAATGAGATCCTATATTCATTCAACAAGCATTTGACAAATGCGTACTACTTACCAGACAGCCGGTTGGATGCTGGATGGGGATACAGTGATAAATAGGAAAGTCTTGTCCTCATGGAGCTTAGAGTCCAGCAGGAGAGAAAGGCCATGCATAATCATAAACCAAAATGAGGCTTACTAGGATAGAGGGGAGCCACCAGGAAAGTTCCAAAGGCGATCACGGAGGGCCCATGACTCTTGACTTCTACTGCTACTGTCAAAGCACCTTTTCTCCCTGATTAGTGCATGTTTGATCAGTACATTTACAGTACATAGTGGTTGCATCTACTGTGTGGGGGTTGTACAGGTACATAATACATCTTAATTCTTTTTTATCCCTTCTCCTCTCATCCCTCCCTGCTCTCTCCAACTCTTATTCCCCTTCCTATTTGCAAAGGCTCTATTTCCATTTTTTTCTTCAATTTTCTTTTTAAAAAATCCCTTTCCCTTCCCTTCCTTCTCTCTCCCACCATCTCTTGGTTCCCTTCTCACTTTTCTATTATCTATCTCTTATTTTGCTTTATTTATATTTTGAGCTTTTTATGTAAAAGAAACCATGTGATATTTAAACTAGTATGTCTGATTTATTGCACTTAATATTATGATCTTGAGATACAACCATTAACTCTAGTTTATCCTTCTTTATGGCAGAGTAGAATAAATACCACCTTTGTGTATAAACACCACATTTTCTTTATTCATCTGTTGATGGGCATATAGATTGCTTTTAAGATTGAACTATTATAAGTTGTGCTGTTATACACATGGGTATGCATATGTCACTGTATTATGGCAACTTTGACTCTTTCAGGAAGATACTTAGAAGGGGAATAATTGCGTCAAATGGACTTTCTATTTTTAGTGGTTGCTTGTTTTGAGACAGGGTCTCACTATGCAGTTCAGGCTGGCCTTCAACTCACTATGTAGCCCAGGCTGGCCTCGAACTTGTGGCAACCCTTCTGCCCCTCCCTCTCGAGTTCTGGAATTATTGGTGTGCAGCACTACGCCCAGCTTACTTTTAGCTTTTTGAGGACTCTCCATACTGATCTCCATAGTGGAGGAACTAGTTTACATTCCCGCCAACAATGTAGAAGGTTCCCCACCCCCACAGCCTTGCCAGCATTTGTCATCATTTGATTTCTTGATAGCCATTTTTTTCTGGAGGGAGATGGGATCTCAGCATTGCTTCAATTTGCATTTCTCAAACAGGCAGCAACGTTGAACATTTTTTCATGCATTTGTTGGCACCTCCTCTGACTCTGACCCTACTGCTCTGTCTAACAGTGTCTCTTGTGATTGATTACACCGCATTAATACCCGGTTAACTGCACCCACCTCAACCACCTTAACTCACATCTACGTAGTTCCTCTTTGTACTCGCAGTGCAAAGACATTCTAGGTGTGGGAAGTGGACATCTTTGAGTGGCCCTTACTCTACCACAGCCCTCCTGGGCTGCACAGGAGGAAATGGGGTACCCTTAGACACTAGAAAGCAGCAGTGGGGTGTCTTCTCATGTCCACTTGCTGATAGCATTCTATTAAATCCAGTCACAGGAGAGGGGGCAGAATAGACATCTGAGGGCTGGCTGTAGAAGCAACTCTCAAGAGATTGCTCCTCTAAGCCCCCAAATCCACCTGAGTGAGAGGGGATAGACAGAACTACCTGGAAGGGCTGCAGGGAGGACTAGTAAAGATGTCATCCATGACATCACCTGAGACACTGCCTGATCTCAGGAAATGCCTGTTTTGAAATGCTGCCTACATCCGTCCCTTTCTCTTTCTCTGTATCTGTTGCTGCCACCACTGCATTCTCCAGGCCTGTCAGAAACCTTAAGTTGCTTTCCAACCATACCGCCTGCTTCAGCAACAGCTTTGGGGCGCCGTATAGGACCTTGCATCAACCATGGAAGCTGCAGCTAGCCTCTGAAGCGCTCGGAGTTTCCTCCTAGGCCTAATGGGGTAAGAGTATCTATCAGCCAGTTGTGGGGGCACTCACTCGTAATCCCAGCTACTTGGTAGGCTGAGGCAGGAGGCTCGTGAGTTCAAGGCCAGCCTGAGCAATTTAGTAAGACCCTGCCTCAAAATAAGAAAGGGGTGCGGGTGTAGCTCAGTGGTAGAGCACTTGGCTAGCATGTGCTAGGCCTTTGCTTCAATTTTCAGCACTGCACACACAAAAAGTCAAGTCCATCCAACCGGGCAGTCCTGAAGATTAAGTAAGACAAATGGAAAAGGCTCAGCACAGTGTTTGGCACAAGATTAAGGGCATGAGAAACAGTAGTGTTATTCTTCCCCCAGAGACCTGGCCTTTTTCCTTCTCCTCAACTTCCTTCACCTTCCTCACTCAGCCGCACCGCGTAATGCCCTTCGCTCAACCTTGAACCTGCTGGGCATTAAACAGTTCCTTGTCTCCGATATTCTCGGGGCGTCCTGTGTGAGTCATTCTTGCAGCCCTGTTCTGTGCGTCCGGCAACCTGTTCAACACGGATTGCCCGAGTCTTCTCAGGCCTGGCTCCTTCCCTCAATGCCGGACACGAGGGCCTGGAGGAAAGGTGTGTCTTCCATACTGTCCTACGTTGGCAAAGTACTTCCCCTCCTCACGGGGCCCCAGTTTCCTTACGTGTAATGAGTACTTTGAGCTGCAAGGCTAAAAGAGCACCTTCAGTTCTGTGATCCTATTTAGTAGCCGGATCTCTGTAAGTTACTAGTTCGCGTCTTTCATTTTCCAGCGGGAAACCGATGTTTTCCTCTGTCTGACCCGTGAGGCAAGCCTTCCAGGAGGATATGCAGTCTTGCTTTCCTACCCTGTGAAGGGGGGCCTCGCGTCCCCGCCTGTCTCCAGGGCTAGGGGCGCCGGAAACACGTGTGTGCTCACCTACGTGTACACACGTGAGCACACCTACAGCAGCAGGAGGCGCTCGGGCCGGCAGGGGGCAGCACAGGCCCGACTTGCAATTGCCCGGCGCAGCCCCGAGGGAGGAGGGCGTGCTGCAGTCCCGGCGGCGGCTGGAGGTGCAGCCTCCCAGGTGGGAGGCGGGGGCTGCGGGCGCAGGAAAAGGCGCCTTGGAAGCGGGCGCTCGGCGGGGCCTCCTGCGGCCGTGCGCGGCGCGGCGAGGGGGAGCGAGGAGCG